AAACCCAAAACTCTGTTGGCAAAAAAAAAAAAAAAAAAACACAAAAAACACTACAACAAAAATGGTTAGAAACTGATCATAGCCTTACCTTTTTCTGGTACCAAACTATTGCATCTGTTACTTTGGACGCCATTTATTCTAGACATTTGACATCTTAGGCTGCAAGGAAAGAGAGACAAGCTTGTTTGTGATCCCGTACTCTGATGATGTATGTATAAATAGCTCAGTTACCTGCACACTAAAGGGTGTGCACAAGTACTTATATTACACTCTCCCTCATTACTATTTTACAAATGTGTTTCCAAGCGTGCTGCAACTTGAAAATTATTCATTCTGAGTCTACGTCAGAATGTACATACAAATAATTTTAAGGATACAAACCTGGACAATAATGGGTGTTCATAAATACCAATATATGTTTTAGTATTCAAGAAGATTGTAAAAACAGCCTTTTGTCATGTATTCAGTAATTATTTAGTCCCATCTAAAAAAAGTGGTGCTGCACAGTTTTATCCACACAATATGGGGTAAAAAAAAAAAAGGAGGAACTAAATCAGATACAACAACATAAAACAAAAATTACAGAATGATGTTAAATTTACATCTAAAAGAAAAAAAACACAGCGGTTACAATTTTGTAAACCCCATAAAATGTGCATTGTCCCTCAATTACGAACATTTATAAAAATATATAGAACTAAAAATGAGAATTTTTTAATACTTTGTAAAGGAATTCTTTTTAGCTTTGGATAACGGGGGGAAGGGTTAGAGTTCCTGATGTGTTTTTATTGCCGTCTGTGTCCCCAATGACACTGACCTCTCACAGTTTTTTCATTGGGGCCACTGTCACCGAGACAGAAAGCGATAGGAGATGCAAAATTTTAGTTGCCACCATAGTGAAAAGGTGAGGGGAAAATACTAGGGCTGTGCAAATTAACGATTAATTTCTCGATTAATCGTTAATCTTTTTGATAGATTAAAAAATTTTTGAAACTTTTTGCACGAGTGATAGCCAAGGCATTGGCCTATACATACACCAATTAAGTCATAAAATGAAGTAGGATCACACTAATCCAGCACGTTATTATTCTGAGTTGCCCCCACTCAAGCGGCGGCCATATTGAGTGGGGCACGTGAGATGAATAACGTGCTGGATTAGTGTGATCCTAGTTCATTTTATGACATCATTACTGTGCTGTATGTGTATAGGCCAATGTAGTTGGATCTGTATGTGCGTTATAAATTAATCAAAATTAATCGATTAAAAAAAAGTTCGATTCGAAAAGTTCTTTTCGAACACGAGAATTTTAATCATTACCAGCCCTAGAAAATACTCTAATTGGGACATATGTTTATGATGGGCAGGATGAAAAATAGCAGTGAGAAAATGCATGTCTGGAAACCATGGTAAAGCAGCTTGCCGCAAAAGCATGCCGGTATTCTTCCACCATATTGTCTACTACTTTTTCATACAGCAAGCACAGGAGACCAACATCATGGTGATCGGCCTTAAAAGAGTCCTGGGACTACCCTTACAGCTTTCCATCATATGACTGTATGATGCAAGGAATTTAAAAAGGAGGAGAACTATGAGGCAAGTGATTTTCACACCTCATAGTTCTAGCAGACCTGTGACAATGAGACTGTCACAGGTCGGCTCAGTAGATCGGGAGGTGAGCGAACACATACCGGCATTCACTCACCTCTCGATCCTGTCACAGCTCTCTGCCGTGACAGGGGAGGGGCTGGATTCCGCCCTCCCCGCTCCGATCCGCCAGCGCTGACTGAGTTGCGGAGTAAACACATAGCATTACCAAATGTGTGAACATTGCAGGACTGCAACCGTTGCCATGATCACACATATGGCAATAATGCTGGGGTAATTTGAAAATATTGGTGCCTACTTGGGTGCTTGGTTAATCATGGGCTCCGAGTAGCCACTTTAACTGCCAACACATATACCTATAGTGGGGTATCTGTACTTTAAAAAGAAAAATATACAGTAAAAGGTTATAGAACAGGCAGAGGTATGGAAAAAGAAGTACCATTTGGGTGATTAAACAGAATTTATTATCATAAAATCAAGCAGCATATACAAAACTTTCACAAAAAAAGTTCCAAAATTACAGCAAAACATTTTGGTTTGTGGAAATATTATGGATGACTGTACTTTTCAGTATAAAACCTCCTAGACATCTTGTAACAGAAGATCACAAATAGCATTTATAATTACAGCATGCACTCATAATTAGCAGTCTAGTCAGAGTATTTACAAAACATTAGACTCCTACCATAGTTACAATGATATTCAGATGAAGTGACAATATATTGTACAGAAATGGGTCCAACTGGGAGAGGGCACAACTTGTGCCTACATTAACCCACACTGCACATTAAATTGCAAGCACCCCTTTATGCCTACAGAACAAAAGAATGTAAGAGTCCACAATAGAATTTTACATAATCCTTAAAATGTAAAGAATAACTGGAGTTAGCCCTGGCTGTGTCAACTATATATCAGTCCAAAGTTTGCTGGTAGACCCCAAACGGATTCAGACACTTTTAAAAAAGGTAAAAAGGTTCGTTGGAAAATAATATAAATGGAAAAACATTTGGGGCTGGAATTCGACTAACTTTACCACTGCCAGCCACATAAGGCATTATTGCTGGCAGTGGGCCCCTGTAAACAGACTACGGGAGGCTATACTGTTAAGCTGTATAAAACCAATGGGTCGGCTTTACAACGGAAGCAGTTCTGGCAGCTGAGCTGCCACCAGATCATTTCTGGGGGCCAGTAAGGAGTGTGCCGCCCCCCAAAACACCCCCTCCCTGTTTCCCTGGCTCCACTGCCCTTACTGCGGGCCTGGTATTGGCATCATGGGTGTCGATGGGTAGAGAGACCGGCGAACATCCTCTCGTCAATCTCCTCCCCGCTGAATAGAGCCAGAAGCGACACTAATTGCATCACCTCAGGTTCCTTGACTGTCATTCCCTGGATCAAAAAGCCAAAGAAGCTATTCCAGCATGATATGCGCTTAAAAAGCTTATTTGCAGTTGAAAGGTGATACTAGGGGTCTAATAGACCGCTAATGTCTCCTAAAGAATACCTGTCACCACCATTGTAAACACATGTCGGGTGCGCCTGCGCACGAAAAAGTTAATTGCACTACACATGTTGGGTATCGCCAAGTGTGCCAGAGTGAGAGCAATCATTCCAGGGCCAATATTCACAGGTAACTGTAAAATGACTTTTAAACAGTCACCTATGGACAATTTAAGGGACTGAATTTTTGATCTCATGTTGGGTACCTATTTTACTCGGCACAACCTAATCTTTTATTTTTTATGGGAAAAGGGGTATTATATTGAGTTTGTGGGCACTAAAATTAACATAACCCAGTATCACTGCTCCTTCATAGCAGCACCAGAGAGAACCGGGGGTTCTCTCTGGTGGATGTTCTCCAACATCCATAGTCACTCACAGAAGAAAAAAAAAAGTCAGCAAACTATGTTGAAGAATTTATTGTAGTACACAGGTAAACATCATCCCGTCATGGATCCTCTCCACAATAAAATGTTTCACCCAATAAGGGGCTTAATCATTTTTAACCCATAAACGGAATATCACAGCTGACGTTGCTTCCACATAAAAAAAAGGCAATAAAAATATCATGACATGAAAAATATTTCACCTATAATTCATAAATTCTTTGACACTTATTACATTTGATCTAGAAAGTGACACTAAATCAGGTAAGTGACTCAGCTCTTTTGTAATGTAAGAATCAGTCAGAACATACTTCAAGAAAAAGTTCAGAGAGGCACAGAGAGGGAGAATAACATGTTTGATGGGTGTGGATAAACACACACACACACACACACACACACCACACACACACACACACACACGAGGAGTGGCTCCCCTTCCTTTTATTTAGTCAAATGAATGGTCTGCAGGGAACATACTATTTTCAGTGGAAAAGCAAATCTGCAATGGAAGCTCCCATAATTCCATGCAGGTTCCATGTACATCTGCTCCTTCCTATCCAACTTGGTGGGTTACTGACCTAAAAAGTCTATGCATCAAGTGCCCCGACAGGTTTCTGGTTGTATGCTTTTTACAGGTCTAAGCAATAAAATAAGTATGACAGTCCCTTAAAAAAACAAGTCACCATTAACTCACTCATACATGAATCCCAAGAGACTTCCTACGAGACCCATTCATTCACAGATATGAACAGATTAATCTAGTAATTAAATCCTTAAATGTTTCATGTACTACGCATCTTACTCATTGCTAATTAGTAAAATGTAGAAAAAAAACGGGATACCCTCTACTGCTACGCTGGGGGAACCAATAAAGGGTTCACTGTATTGTTAAAATGGAAAAACGCCATCCATCTGTAACAAAATACCAGAAAACAAAATTACATACTTATGAACAGATGTTCAGCAGTACAGTCCCATATCTTCCCTGGCTCCAGTGACCGGTGTTGGAGATGTGGGGGAACAAGGGCTCTCTAATGCATATATTTTGGGACTGAACCAAGGTAAATCAATTGTGGTCACAAGTCACCTGAATCTTCACCAAGCGAACGGACATTAATCTTAGCAACAACCATGTGGCTTGCCTACTGCAGTTTACATCCATCCCCATTTAAGATATATAAAGTCCCTGTTGGTTCATCTCAATGCAGCAAAAGTTTGTATTTAAAATAGTTGGAAACAGAACCCCCCGCCTACACTTGCTCATAGTTTGTAAATTACATTATGTACATGGAGGATCTAACAGACAGACTGGTAGCCTAGACCACCCCCTCCTGAGGGAAAATATATCTTTCAAGCCCCTTTTAAACTAAAAACCGGAATTTGTACACGAGACTTGAGACAGCAGCTCTCCTTCCCCTCTGGGGTGGGAAGGAATAAGAAGCCCTCCTTTCCACATCTTCCCCCACAACCCCCCCTGCGATCGATCTCACGATCTAACCCAGTCTTTTTCCTCCTACTACTTTCCTTCCTCTTTCTCCCTCTATGCGGCTTTACTGTCACCGATTCATAAAAATGACCCGCTTCTCCTGATCCTTTCAAAGACTTTAAAAATAGATTTGAACTTTGACATGGCAAACTTTGTAATGATTGGCCAATATTCTCCTTTTGTG